CACACGAGACGGGCAGAAAGTGCCCAATAGACACCTTTCTAGCTTCCCTTGTAGTTCAACACTGGAATATGATTTAACTCTGGGCAATGGGACCTGAAGGAAATCCATTGGAAGACACATATGAAATGCTTTCCTTCTCACTGCACAATGAAAAGGAGCTTTGAGAGAGAGAGTTTTTTTTTTTTCCCCTAACCCCTTTTGTTTTTGGATGTTAATGCATAAGAAGGTTCAGCACAGCCCTGCTGCAGTGAGCTTGCAGCCCTGAGGAGGCAGCCGAGAGAGGCGCGGCGGAACCTGCTCTGAACCCTGGCACTGTCGAGCCCTGAAGCAACCTGGAATTGACTGCATTTTTGTTTTCTAGTTTTTGTGAAAAATAAACTCTTTTCATTTAAGCAATTTTCAGCTGGGTTATTTTTGTTGTTGTTGTTACTTGTAGCCAAGAGCATTCCTAATGGATACAATTTTAAACTTGGTCTTCATACATCCCCATTCTAATTCATCCTCTTACACCTTCGAAGTAAAAGGAAACTGATCATGCCACCCCCAGCTTTGTCTGTGGGTGGCTCCCTTTGCCTCCACAGTATATGCAGTCTCATATGCACACTGACTGCCTTTCCAGCTCCATCTTCCAGTAATTCTCCTGTTACATCCAAGGCTACATCCCCATGGAATTACCTGTGTCTCCTAGAAGGCATTGTACTATTTAACACCTTTGAGACTTTGCTTCAAACCTCTTCTTTCTGGAATATCCTCTAAATTCACTATCCCCCTAACTAATGTCTACAAGTAAAATACATTTTCAAGATCCAGCTCAAATATCTATGCCTTTTCATAATGAAGTTTTCCATGGACACTACCCACTACATTCACATAGAATTGTCTGTTTTTTGTTTTAGCCTCTGAAATCTACTAGAGGGTAGCATGAATTTCCAGGGTAGAATGCAGAACATTGCATTTCTATTTATTTTTCATTTTCCATCTAATTACAGTTTCTAATTCATCTTTAGATTTCTAGCACTTAAAAACATGCCTGGAACATAGGAGATGCTCACTAATTATATTAAGAATGACTGTTTGAAAAGAGGAATGAAATAAAATTTTTGTATCATGGAGTAACCACTGATGTACATTCTAAAACATTCCCTTGTAATTTCTCTCTCATTTCCAATGAATTATAATATTTGAAGCTGGAAATTTTATATTTGAAACTGATAAGAACTATTTTATTGTGCACACTGGAATTGACTCTGTTTCTACGATCTGTACACAGTACATCTCTTGTTCTTTTGGAGAAAATCGAAGAGCAAGGTTTTCCCCTATTTTTCTTCATGTCAAATCTTATTTGAAATCAAGGAAATATGAAATAAAGAATCAAATTATGTATTAAATAACATCTTAACATTGTTATTAAAAGAGAAAGGGTCATGGACTTTATCCAAACTGATAAATATCTAGCAATGCACAGTCCAATACTATGTCATTTCATATGTAGGAATATAGTTTTTTTTTTCTTTTCAAACCTCCAGGTCACATGGCCCTATTTTTTTTTTTCTTAAAGGAACACACAAACGTAAGACATTTGAACTGCAATTGGTTTAGACTGCAGCTGCTTTCCACCTGCAGTCTCTACAATCACAGTCCCTTCAGGTTGGGGGGTGTCAGAAAGGTTGGGAACCTTTTTGAGATCTGACTGAGGTGAAGTTGAGTTTGGATATGGGGGGATGAGTTTCTGTGGTTTGCAGTCGCTTTTGTGTCTAATTGGGCTATTTCTTTGTATGGATATGGCTTCCAAAGATTCTCTCCCATGTACTCTTCCAATTCAGCCAGAATTTGTGACACGGGTGTGCAGAACCAGACGCCACATCTCAGGATGAATTTGGTCCATTGCATCCAGTGTAGAATGAATAGTGGAGGAGAAAAGTTTGAAATGGTGGAGCCAGAAGCTAGTCCATGGGAAAAACATTATAGAAGTGTGTCAGGTAGTTATGTAGTAAAAATTTTTTTTTCAGAATTTTGTAATATTTGTGATTTTTGTTACTGTTTAATTATTTGTGGTTTCTTGTAGCATTTTAACACATGCCTATTTTTGTATGAGTTTTATATTTTTATGGTGTACTGTTTTTTGCAAAGAAGGTTCCCAACATTGTATAAACTTCAGGCTCTACAAAACCTGGATTCTCTCGTGATAAATCTATACTGGAATAAAGCTTTCATAGACCTAAAGTATGTTTAAGCTAGCCATTAATTTTATTTTTAAATGACTTTATAAATCCTGTGTTTCCCTAAAATTTTCTTGTGTTATGATTTTCTGCAGAATTTCTAGAGAAAATTCAAGATGTGCTTTGTAACTAGGGCTTAAGTTCTTAAAAAAACTACGTATTTTAATTTTTACTCATCATGACTACTTAGATACAGAACTGAGTATTCTGTCCTGCACCACAAAGCTAACATCTTGTCCGATTGGGTGGGCAGGTGGGAGAGGAACTCATTTAAACATCGTAATTGAACTTTGGCATGAATTCATTCTCTTGCCTTTCCATCTTTTCCAATACAATGCTATTTTTGGTTTAATTTTTCTTTTTTCCAGAAGTTGCCAGTTTTTTTTTTTTTCCCCATGGAGCAGGGCAATGTGATGACAGTAGAAATAAAAAGAAAATTATTTTATGGTTTTTAGAGAGGATCTGATGTTGAATATATTTTATACGTGAAGCTAATTTTAATCCCCTGGGCTTATTTAGCTATAAGTCACATGAAGTGTTTGAATTTTAAATAGTGAATCATCCTAGGTGGCCATACAGCTTTGTTCATGAAGAAGGATGCTGGAGCAGCCCTGTATATTTTCAAAAATACCTCTGCTATAATTAACTATTTAGCAGTTAGAACACTGCCAGAGTTTTGTATTTTTTCCAAGTGTTTCACCTTGTCCTTGGAGTCAACCTGTGACCTCTATATGCTTCTAGAAATTTAGGTCTTTCTTAGCTACTGGTAACAGGAAGGAAAGTTACCTCTGAGATCTAAGGGAACATTCTGGGGGCCAGCAGGTGATACGTATCTGTTCTATGTCTTTCTAAGAATGGTTCCTTGCAGTGCCTTGCCTTTCTATTTCTGGCCACATGTGTTCTTTTGCTGTATTTTCTGTGAGTTTTCTTTTAAGTCCCATTCTGAAGAATCCCAATGCAGGTATCTGAGAATAATTTATTACGTCTTGCGTGACCCAAGATAGTTTTGACCATTCTTACTCTTCCTTTAATTCATATCTGAGAACTAAGTTTCCATTTAGAGAGAGGAATGATTTTCCTTCCCTATCCTGGGGTGCATGATCATTCTAAAAGTGAAATGATTTTGATTTAGTATTGTCACTTAGCTTTTTATAAGATCATTATATATGTCAGATAATCCAGTTTTATTAGATCTAATGGAAAAACATAGTGCACTTTTTAAGGTAAATTTTTCCCATTCATTTTTCTGTATGCTTTTACCCCATTATTTCCTTCCTTCCTTCCTTCCTCTC